ATATATATATATATATATATATATATATATATATATATATACATATGTATATGTAAAAATCAGTTTCTCGTATGATATTATTTCTTTTCAGACACGATGGGAGATAATGATACCGAAGTGAATGGTACTCTACCACAACACATGTCGAGTTGTCTCGCGACAATAGATATATTCCTTCAACAACCGCACCCGGTGCTCGCATCCATGGTGTTAGCTGAAAAACTTAAAATAGATAACGACAACAAGGCTGACCTCGTTGCAACCATTGCTAATATCCTAGGTGTTAAAGATGTTAATACGATTAATCCCAATAATAGTTTGGCCGACTTGGGTATGGATTCGTTGATGGGCACAGAGATAAAACAGACCCTCGAGAGAAACTACGACATCGTATTGTCAGCTCAAGAGATCCGTGTCTTAACTTTCGCCAAACTGCACGAATTATCTTCGACGAGTGGTGAGATAGTGAAAGACCAGCAATCTTCTGCTGAGAAAGCAATCACTGTTACGGATTCAAACCTGTCGCTCGATATGTTGATGCAATGGCCAAGCAACGAAGTGCTACCTAAAGAGGCTCTCGTTCCCTTAAAAACAAAAAGTTCCAACGGACCGATGTTATTCACTATTCATGGTATCGAAGGTCTTGTTAAACCATTAGAATATGTGGCCAGCGAACTAGACAGGCCGTGTTGGGGTTTGCAGAGCATTGAACAGGCGCCTCACGAAACAATCTCAGAGTTGGCTGAGTTCTATGTGAATACTATTAGAAAAGTTCAAAAAAAAGGACCATATCACTTGGCAGCATACTCGTATGGAACTTGTGTCGCCATTGAAATGACTTTACAATTGGAATCCGCTGGAGAAAATGTGATTCTGAATCTTATCGATGGTTCAGTGGCATTTGTACGACAACAATGTGATATGATTGGTAAATTAGAAGAAATAAAAAGTACTACTTCTGATGGCTGTATGAAAGCGTTGGCATATTTCATCATACAATTCAACAAGAACGTCAGTTTTATTCAAGTAGGTATACATATAATAATATTCTATCTGCCGTATGTGATATTTATCTTCGTTTACCTTAAAAAAGGAATAAAGATATACACGCACACGCAGAGAGAGAGAGAGAGAGAGAGAGAGAGAGAGAAGCACAAGCAGAGAAACATATAAAATATGTATCGAGTCTTGTTAAAGTTCAAACAAAAATGAGATTATAACTATAATTATAATTTATAATACAATTAATTTACTAACATTAACTACATTTGTTTGCAATACGTATAATACGTACATAATAAGTGGACGTCTATTTATAATCAACTAATGCCTTTTTTTAATCTCTTTGGAATTTGGTAATGAGCTATCATAATAATTATTGAACGTAATAATTATTAATACATTTTTTTAATTTTAATTAATCGTTAGCAACTTACGGTATAAAATCAGACTATTCAAGTATTAATGTATATATATATATATTATAAAAATAGCAAAATGTCTGTAGTCTTCTAGCAGACTGTCAGCAGGTTCGAGCAGAAAATGATGCAATCTGCCATCAACTGCGTTCGTATTAGGCTTGTGTTCTGTTAACATCGCTTGTCGATATAATGTGAAGGCAAATTGTTGGCAAAAACTGAGCAGATCTTGCCAACATTATCTGACTCTTGCAGATTCTATTACGTTTTTTTCTAGCAGTCTGTCAACAGTATTATGTATCTAATTCTGTTATTATTTTGTTGGCATAGTGTGTAGCACAGACATTAAAAAATTTGTTTTCTATAGACTTAGCTATCTAGATGCATATAT